TGAAGTGTTCGGTTGGCCAAAAAAAATAAGGAAATGAATTATAAGAAACCTATTTCCTGTAGTTTCTTGTTTTTTTTTTTGTTCGGTTCATTCTTAAAAATAAGAAATGAAATGAGATGAGATGAGTTGTCATTGTATTATTGGGTGATGTGAAGAAAGATTAAGAAAAGTGTTTTCATAACTTTTTGGGATGAAAATGAAGAAATGAAATGTTAATGAGATGATGTGAATTGTTATAATATTTTATTGGATGATGTGAGTGATTTGAAATGATGAGAAGAGATGAGTTAAGTGATATTTGGATGAAAATAATATTTTATTAGATGTGATGGATGAGTTGTTAGATGAAAATAATATTTTATTAGATGTGATGGATGAGTGGTTAGATGAAAATCATATTTTATTAGATGATGTGGATGAGTTGTTGGATGGAAATAATATTTTATTGGATGTTGTGGGTAAGTTTTAGGGATGGAAATGGAGGAAATGGTGAGTTTTGAGATTTTCACCATTTCCATTTCCATTTCTTGGTTTTTAGAAAACAAACGAACATGCCCTTAATTGAATGATTACAGCATGTCCAAAATATTGTTGCATATCACTATACACATATAGAAATTAATGTTAACATTTTATTTGTAAGAGAATGATAATTGATTAACATTTCGATCTAGCGACGGTTAATCTGGATCCAAAACTCTTGTGTTTAATTTGGAGAACAGAATATTCAAAAGGATAAAGTTATAAACTTGTCTAAGTGTCATACCATCACCCTAAGAAACCTAAACGTGTGAAGTGGATTATTATTTAACCTATATCACTTCTCTGACTTGTACACACAAAATTTAATCTCACCTGTCTTCGGAAATTTAAATTATATATATGGACTTTTCTTGCCTGACCAATTCGTAGGAAAAAAAAAAAGCAAATCGCCTCACGCTTAGACTTGTACTTTTAGCACAGATCAAAACACCACCATGTGAGAATAAACACAAAATTCTTACTCTGTTGATTATTCAAGAAATTTGAAAACAGGAGTCGAATACAAACTTCCATGGGAAAAAAAAAAATCGTTGGGAAAAAAAGACTATTGCTAACCAAACTTCCATGGAAGAAAACAACAAACAAACAAGCTTCCATGCAACAAAAAAAGAAAATATTGCTAACCATTTTGTGCCATGTTACATGAGGATCATAAAGGGGGAAAAACTCACATTGCAATATAAACAAACTTCCATGGAAAGGGAAGAAAAAAATATTTATTACCAGTTTGTGCTTTGCTACATGTGGATTACAAAAGAATATACGCCTTGTTTGGTATGCATGGATGAGATAGAACGCTCATTCTCACTTTTCATTTATGCTTACCAAACTCAACATCATTTTACAGGCTAAAATGCTCTCTCTCACTTCTCTTCACTTTTTGTGGTAATGGACATTCCCATTAAGTGGAATGCAAAATTTAAAATTTATATCAAATATGTTTTGATTACTTAAAATAAAAAGATTTCCATCCTCACTTTATTCTATAATCACATCCAAACATTGAGATAATAAACATTCATTTCTCACATAAATTTCATTTCATTCCTTACTTCATTATATTTTCACGTAACCTTATTCATGCATACCAAACAAGACATTAAGGTACCGTTTGGCAAAGGGTTAAGTGAGGGGTTAAGGAGACTTAACCCCTTCTTAACCTGCCAAACACAACAAATCTATATAAGGGTTAAAGTGAGTTAACCCTCTATAATTTGCCAAACATAAAAAATATAGAAGGGTTAAGTTAACCCCTCTAGAAGGGTTAAAATGAGTTAACCCCTCAAAATATGGGGTTTACTAATGCTCTGCAAATTTGAAACTTCAATATTTATCAAAAAACTTCCAATAAAAAGTCCAAAATACCTATATCAATTCCAAATGCTCTGCAAATTTGAAGTTTTAAACAGTACTGAACGAAGCTAACTTCTACAACTACAGAAGAGATTCCTAAAGAAAAAGCGCTAGTGTGGGGGGGAAAAGTTGTAGAACAAATTAGCAAATCATCCACTCACTATGACGTAATCGTACTCACTTCACGTCTCCTCATAAACGAGAACTCAAATCTAGACAAACCTACCTCACAACCCTATTATTTCAATCTATTTAAGCCCATTGGTTTTGATTTTGACTCTTTTTAGCCCCCTAATGTTTCTTCATAACCAAGGAATGATATTCCAAGTAAAAATAATAATAAAATTTTTGAAAGAAAAATTACTCTTATTAACAAACAGCCAACCAGAGAAAGTCTTAAGTTAAAAATAAGGCGGGTTTATATAAGGTGGGGGTTTATCTGAATTTTGAGCTTCCCTATAAATCGCCATCCCCGACGGTTCGCTCCTTCACCCACGCTCCCGACTAAAATCTTAACCGATGGGAACCAGAGTACTCCTCCTCCCCCTCCTCCTCGCCCTCCTCCTCCCTTCCTCCTCCCTC